CATCTCCATCTCCCGCTGCCATGCTGTAGGGGGTCCTGGCTGCCCCTCTTCGTCTCCGTCTCGGCCCGACCCCCGGGGCTGCCCGGCTGCCGCAGGGGCTCCTCGAGCGGTGGGAAGAGGAAAGCAGGGCCACGGCGCGGGGAGCGGGGTGGCACAGGGGTGGGGCTGAAGACGGGGAGCGGGTGGCAGCTGCCAGGTGTCTCCGGGCCCCTGGGCAGCACTTGTCCGGGAGGAGGCGGCGTCTTGCTCCCACCACTTGTCACCTCGCTGTTGCTATTCATCATCACTGCCGCAGGGGCTCCTCGAGCGGTGGGAAGAGGAAAGCAGGGCCACGGCGCGGGGAGCGGGGTGGCACAGGGGTGGGGCTGAAGACGGGGAGCGGGTGGCAGCTGCCAGGTGTCTCCGGGCCCCTGGGCAGCACTTGTCCGGGAGGAGGCGGCGTCTTGCTCCCACCACTTGTCACCTCGCTGTTGCTATTCATCATCACCAAGCTATTGAGTGCATAGCAGTACACGGCCATAGTAGTCAGCCGGGGCGCACAGGGGGGCCGCCGCCGCCGCCGCCTCGGCGCTTAGGCTCCGCGGGGCTGCCAAGGGTGTCTCCACGCCAGGACCAGCAGCATTGCCAGGAGGCAGCAGGGCAGCTGGGCTGGCCCCGGCCCGCAGCTCCATAAAATGGGATGGCTGGGGGGAGAAAGAGAGAGAGAGAGAGACAAGCGGTGAGAGTAGCTCTGCACCCCTCCCTAAGCTCATCCTCCAGCTGTGCACAGAGCTGGCTGGACTCTTCCCTTCCTGCGTGCTCCTCTCCCCCCTCCCCAGTCCCTGCACACACCTGCATGCATCCCCAGTGTGCCACCCCTGGGGACATGGCCCAGCCTGGTCATCAGAAGGGTCTGAGCCAAGGGGAAGTCAGGTTTAGTACTGTTTCCCCTCTTTCCTGCCTTCCCTGCCCCCTCTCCAGGTTGCCTGTCGATGCAGCCACAGCAGCAGTGTCCGAGAGGACACACAGTCAGCAGCCGTTCCCACAACAGAATTAGGGAGTTACGGTCAACTGGTGTGAGCTGAAAGCTGGCAGCTTTCAAGTTTTAGCCCCGAAAGCTGACATTTTCTGAAGGAAGGGAAAAACTCCAAACAGCTCAAATTTGCCACGTTCTGGTTTGTCACCTACGACCGAGATCAAGCCTCAGGCACAGATTTCTGTTCAGTGATACACGTGAAGGTTCCCTGCTTGCACAGGTTTGTATGGCATGGGACCACGTCTCCGCTACTCCCCTAACTTACCACATGCAACAACATGGCTTTGCACATCTTCACGCGCACCCTGTCTAAACGTGCCTCCCCTGTGCACGCCTGCCTTCTGGGGCATCGACTGCTGCAACCGCCTCCAAGTCACAGCCCGGATCCCACATACGGACATGTGTGGTGTTGTTTGTCCTGTTGCGTGTGTGAGTGTGTACACGCGTGAGAGAGACTCCGCTTTTGCAGGTGGCTCTCTGTGCCCCTCTGTACTTCAGTGTGCCTTCCTTCATGTCCTTTGCTCCGTGTACCACTGGAGTTGCAATGCCCATCCCATGCTGGGGCATGGGAACCCATGAGATCTACACAACATGCTGCCTACATGAGTGTGTGGGCTTGTTTACACATACGTGTGCTAACTCCGGCTACGGGTGTACATGTCTTTGGAAGCACTTGTGTGTGATGCTGTCAGTGGTACCCCTGTGCGTCCCTGTGAGGCTCCTGGCAGGTCAATGCCCACAGGTCTGAGCGCAGTCCCCAGTGACTGGGTGACCAAAAGGCTCCCCATCTCTCCAGGCACTGCTCGGAGGCAGCGTGAGGCTCGGCAGAGCCCAGGAGGCACAGGCACCCCCTCTTTGCAGGGATCCCCGGCACTGCAATGCTCCCAGCACTCTGGCTTGGTTGCAAAAGCGAGCACCGGCACAAGGTGCTCGGCCAGATTTTGGGTGCGGGACAGCCCGCTTGGGGCCAGGGCAGGGTGCGGGACGGCCCGCTCTGCCCCGGGGCAGCACCCTGCCCCTCTGCCCGCCTCCACCTCGTCCCTTCCTCCCCGCGGGGCCCGG